CACCTTCATCTCTACCACACCAGCCTCCTACTAAATCTACACAACCACTGTCTAACCTTTATTGAAGTTGGGATTTTTGTACTAATATAATCACTGGTAATGTTTGTCTGATATTTTGAGCAATGTTACAAGTTTACATTATTGGTTCTTTGAAATGTTTTTAAATGTTTAATGGATTGCCAGCCTTAAATCTTAAAACCATTTATCTGTTTATGACAATCATTTCATTTAGAATGGAGCATTGTGAAGAAAATAAAATTGCTAATTTTTTCACTATGAAACTTGTCTCGAGTATGGTTTATTATGGCATTGGACTCAAGTCTATGTTTTTATGCAGTAAGTTTTCCTCCGAAACTCACCGCTTTATATTGAGAACTATCTACATGCCTCTAAATCTTAAGTTCATATTGAATTTTTGGGGAGTATGCTTGTTTTTTATCTGCAGCTCGGAATAAAATTGCTGTAAGGAATACATATGCACTTGTTGGAATGCATAATATAGAAACTGGTTTTTTGGGTGCCTAAACCAAATAAAAATATTGTAATTTCTGGTGGTTCTTAGTTAATGCTGTTTTAAGATCACTATTCCAATGTCTAACGTGGAACCTCTTTTTATTTCATTTAATGCTTAACCCAAGGTAGTCATTAGAGTGGTGACAGCCTATACTATTGCCATTTAATGCCTCAAATGTGTCATCGCATAGGTGCAATGTGGGGATATGGAACTTGAGAAGAAAATAGATGAGAAAATTGATCAGTTCATTGACAAGGTAGAGAAACACCCCAACAAGAAAAATCAGGTTTGTGGTTTGCCAGCAGTTTTAAGTTAGTATTTCATTTGGCTCACGAATTTTTTATACTAACACATGTATCCTGGGGCATTTATTAGAGTTGGCATATCATCTGATTAATTTAGAGGCTGTAAATGCTAACTTTTGAAGTTGCATCGTCTTCCTGTTAAGTTTCACTCCTGTTTTGTCTATCGTGGTGTTGTTGGACACCTTGTGTCTGCTTGGTTGTGTCATAATGCATGCCAGCATCACGATGATGGTGAAATTTGTTTCATGTGTTTTCATTATAGGTAGATCTTCAAATGAGACCAATAAAGATATTCACCTACAAATATAGGTCCCTTTCCCCTGATGCATTGATGTTTTACATTATGTAATGTCATTCAACTCCTAAAACTTCTTGCAAGGATGGCAATTCCTAATGTATGTCAGCTTGCCAGTAATCACGCAGGAAGAAAAGGATGATTGCCACTTGGGACATGTCAAGTGTTATATTTGCTAAAAATTGGCAGTGCTATCTTTTTCTCTTTAACTTTCGCAAATCTTTCTTGCTATTGAAGGTGTACTTTCATTTTGAAGGTGTCATTATCATTATTTGATTGTATTTTCTACCCTCTAGTGTAATTGATATATTATGCTTTTGCCAAATGTCTTAGATATAGCTATATCGATATTCTTTTTCTTTTGAACGGGTATCTATATCTATATATTTCTGGTATAGCTCACCTTGCGAAATATGTATTTTAGGAGCTGTTGTGCTTTATGCTGATGGTCTTCATTGAACATTTATGTCCGATCCATCAAGTTGGATGATACCCAAATATGAGTTCTTTATTCTGAATAGATCTGTTAATGATGCAGATCTGTTTGTCTTTCTATGAAGTGAAAAATAAACAGACATCATGGTTCAATAAAGTAGAACGCCTGCACTGGGAACAGTGGTATATAAATTTGAATGTGACACAGCATCCTAAAGCACATTCTGGCAAGGCTCATCATTCCAAAGTAGTTGTAGACCCAGGAGGTAAAATCGATGCTGAACCTTGCTCTATAATTATAGTGGTGGTGCACTGAAGGCTCCCATTAGCTTGTGCACTTCGGTTTTTTGTCCTGTTTTTCTTTCTGTCGTTTGAGAAGTGAGCTGATGCACTTATTTTTCGATCATTTCTCTAAATAACGGCAGAAAGTCCATCCGAGGATAGAAATGTGCACCGGGCAGCACTAGAAGCAACTCTTCGTGAGGTGTTGTTTCAGATAATCAAATTCGTGAATGAGAAGAAGGATCATGTTCCCCCAATACCAAATCATGAGGGCATCTCATTTCCATATGAAATCACTATATCAAGGTGAGTAGCTGTTGTTGTATTTAATTCTTCACTCCCTGTTGCAACGTCCAGGTGATGCTTATTGTAATACACTTGTTGTTCAAGCATCAAGTGCAAACGTATGGAAGCAATCATTATTTGCTTCTCTTGTACAGATTTACAGCCTTTACCACTTGGTTTTTTCCTTTGTAATATTCTTTTTATAATGTGTTATAATATGTGTAAATGGCTTTGTTTTGAATGCTTTTAAGTAAGCCTGTGGCCTCCATTATGCCATTGGATTGATTAACCACTAAAAAAACCAAAATGTCGTCACGAGGGTTAAACAGCTTATCCTTTGTCATTTTCAATTTGTGAGGTGAACTTTGCCTCTTCTGGTTTGAGTGTGGCATAATTATAAATTTGCAAATCTTTTGAAAACAAGGGTCAGCAATCAAGGCAATGTTATATGCAATTTTTTTTAAAAAAAATTCTTTTCTTTGTACTATTTTTTGTAAAGAATGGTTGACTTTGTCTAATATGTTGAAGTACATTTTAATATTAACTTGAACTTTGAAATTATATGGTTGTCATCTGAAGGGCGATTGTCCTTTTTAGCCAGTTTGTCAATACAAGAGTGTTCAAATCCATGATGCAATTATCGGGTCACCAAATTTACTTCTCTTTCCAAGATCAAGTGAGGTCACCACTCATTGTTGATGAAGGCTTTTTTGCATCTTGATTCCCAAAAATATTTTAAATTCCATTTATATTGGTTAAGCAAGCTAGTGACTAAATGTTTTGTGGCCGAAGTGTGGGTCTCTGATATCAGACTCTGCAGTCTTTATGCACCACAGATGAAACGACAAATGTGTACTTCTTGGTCAGTTTGGATTGAATGATTCTTCCTATAGCTCTGATGTAAAGTTTCAATTGGGTGTTAATGCTAACAATCTCACAATTCCTATTATTACTCTATTCCTATTACTGCTCATGGTGATTATGATTTGTCAAATTAGTGTAAGCTACTCATGAGATTGGTAGGTTTAATAGTGTGCTGCCTTATTTAGTTCATCAGATTCTGCATTTGGGAAGGACCTGTTTAAGAGGATGCTCCAGACTGGGCATCCTACTATGCTCAGCTGATTATCGAAGCTTTCAAGGTGGAACGCGATTGTATATCCTCCTGAGGTAAAGTTGCTTCCGACTACTCAGAATGGATATACTGTATCCTGGTAACTCTCTGCAGAAGATTAGCATCCGAGATGAGCAGAAGCATTTGATTCTGTTAAACTTGTTTATGTGTACATATTTATAAGCATTTTCCTAGGGTATTCCTCTGTTTCCATTTTTTTACTTGCTCACTGTTCCTCTTGCTTTGGTCTCTTTTGGTGGTGCTTGGGTTTGCTCATGAACTGCCTGAATGCCATGTCTTTTATCAGTGAACACGAGATTCATGTTTCATATATATCCACATTGCTTTTTTTTAGGGGTGGAACTTGAGCGGGCTAATTCGAACCCAGCCTGAAAAAATATGGCTAATCCGAACCCAACTTGTCAGTGTTGCACCCTTACGTTTTTCTTTTATATCCACATTGTTTATGGTATGTAGTAACATGGATTGTCAGCGCCAATATTTTATTACTGGATTGATTACACACCAAAAAAATTCCTTCCAATACAAATTTGTGTATCTTGACCTAATTTGTTAATTTGATAATGTGATAGCAATATGATTTAATAATATTGTTGTGATTAAAACTCTTAAGACTTTTTTGCAAGGATTTTATCATTTAATACGTCATTATGTCAGTTTTTTACGTCTAAATAGCGTTACCAATAAAAAATAAAAACCCAAACCCAAAAAAACCAGATGGAGAAAAACCACCGCGACCACAAAGGAAATGAATCAATCGGGAAAATGGGCATGTTGTGATATTTATACGCATCTCTCTTTCAAAATTATATATATATATATATATATAAATTATGATTTTTTCTAACCCCAACAATAAACGAACAATAAGGAGTTTCTTTCTGTCCATTCAAATTGCTCTAGTAATGACAACATGAAACCTCCTGCCAAATATATTGGCAGGGGTGGGGAGAACTCTCTTGAAAGAGACATGGTCCTAATACAACGAGTGTGTTGTTGACTTTCATATATCTTCTAAGTTAGTGTTATGATCAAGGTCTAAGTTTTAACTATCACAAAAGAAATTCAATGTTTTCATGGTTGTATTCGTGGGATTGTTTTTAGGGTAAATTTTACTGATATTCTATAGATTTAAGTTATATTTTACCGACACTCCCTTTAGTTTTGAAATATCATTGCATATTTTTGTTTCCTAATAAAATATATAATTTTACTAAATTACCTTTACTAGAACTCTTATTTTACTTAATTACCATTATTAAAATTAAACTAATTTTATATGGACAAGGATAAATTTAGAAATTTATCCAAGAATAAACTATTATATCACACTAAGTTTATATAAATTAAAGGAGTATACAATAATATTTTAAATAATAGAGAAAGTGTCAATAAAATATAATTTAAATTTACAAGGTGCCAATGAAATTTTAGTAATACTATTTGAACCTAAACTAGCAAGATGGGGACTTGCTATGGGCTATACTGGAACATTGCAATCTGACCAACTGCCAATCTCAACAGAGAATCAAGTAGAGTTGGATGCATGCCCCCATAGACTAGCTTAGAATTACTGTTTTTAAATTACCGTCTTTAATTTACTGTGTTGCTCTCTTATATCTCAATTTTTAATATAAAAAAAAAATTGACTTAATTTATTGACATAATGATGTAATTTCAGGAGAACCATTGGATCAACACTAAGTTTCAATGTTTGATAGCCTCCACAGTCAATCCAAAAATCGTAATAAATTAAATCAATAAATTAAGTTTCTGATCAAATTTTCATGGAAAGGAGGAGTCTTTAAGCACTTCAAGGATGACTCGGTGGGCTCCATAGTCCGTGGCGTAAGGAGTTCATACGACGACAATTTAATATAATTGATTCTCGCAGTTTCTTTTCCGCAAAAGAGCACGCATGACAACAAAATTAAAAAGCAGTTCAGTAAATGCGGACTTTGTTAGAGAAAGTTATTTCGACATTTATATAATAAAATAGAGTAGAATTTGAATTTTGAAATTTATCTTAAATTTTTTATAGTTCAAATAAATTTTGAATAAAAGATAAATCATATTTAAAGGTCTATCTTATTTCTAATTTTTTATGGCTTATATTAACTCAAAAAAATTGATTTAACGGATTAAATTGACAGGAAAATTTTATTTTTTCGCTTAAGACAACTTTTATTTTTAATTATTCCAAATTAATGCTCTTTCGTTTACACATTTCGTTCCATTTATACATTCCATTCACGGCTCCCGACTTTCATATTCCCTCGTCAATTCAGAGGTAAAATCTCCCACCAAATTAAACACATTTTTTTCCCCAAAATATACATACGTTAATTCATTCACTCTTTCTATGGTAAGTGATTTATTTTCTTTAGTATTTGGATCTTTATCTTTTGAATTATACATTGACAATTTTTAAATTCATTACTGATGAATTGAAGTGACACATTTGATTTTAGCATTTTATTAAAGCTATTTTTTTTAATGTATGATTTCATTGAGTGAGTGAATAATTTTTTTGTATTGTATAACTTTAATTTTTGGATTAACGCAAACAGTATAGAATTTTAATTTTTTAATACAAAGATAATGAGACATAATAGCTTGAGTTTGGGAAATATTGGATGTTAGATAGTAAGTAAATAAGTTCCACAAGTAAAATATATTAAAAAATAAAAACGTAAACTATTGTTGGTACTCCATTCAATTCTCCATGAAAAATAGAGTTTTGCAAATTATTCCCAGGGGTGAAAGAGTATTTTGGAAATGTTTATATTATCAAAGACCGTAGCGTGAGTAATTTTTTTGAAAAATAAAAATTTGTATTATTTATTATTTTGATTATACAAATTGTATATGCAAATTGATATTGTTCAAGAATTGTGTTTTTAGAGTTTATTTTATCAATATATTTTTTTTGAATAGGGGGGTTTATATTGATTGATACTATGTGTTATATATTTTTTTCAAGTGAAATTTTTTTTTTTTTTGAATACTATCTTTAAACACGGACAATAACTAGTACTCTTATATTTAGAGACTTAATTAAGATCACTCTGTACTCTATAATTAGTAAATAAAAAAATGACACGTATATGTATCCTAAATCATTATAGGTGGTAAGATCAGCGAGATTCATTACCTCTACCAAATATTCTATGAATAAAATTTTGACACATCATTTCAGATACAAAATTTAATACACAGATTTTGATAGCCCAAATTTATCCTTTTAAAAAAGATGAATAAATATACGGTCTTTCAAGATCACAATGTCGAACTATTTACTACGTGGCATGAAAAACACGCATAATTGAAATTGTGAAAATGTAAGCAGGACAATGAAATTTTAACAAGATTAATCAGACCCACATGTTTTAGATAAGAACAATGTTAAATAAATTTAAAAATTAGATTTAATAATTATAATTATTAATTTTATTGTGAATTTTAATATTTTTTTAAATTTATTAATTATTTAATAGTTATAATTATTAAATTTAATTTTTAAATTTATGAAACATTACTCTGTAGATACATCTAAAGAAGTAATGCAGGAAAACGTCTCCTCCACTCCTAGATGCGTCATTGTTAGGAAACGGCCACACCATACCATTCAATTTTTTAACATACTAAGTTAATAAATTAAATACGAGGAAAATTTTCAACCCGATTGAGGGCTACATTGAAAATATAAGGTCTTCTACAATAATTTGTTTGATTATATAATTTTAAAAAAAAATAGTAAATTTTTTTTTATAATAATCTGAAAAACAATAAAAATAGAAATATGATAGTGATGATGGTACGGTGGACGTGGTGGGTGGGTGGGTGGTGATAGTATTTTCTAAATAATAAAAATGTTGTAAAAAATACACAGAACAATCTAACTTATTTTCTAAATTTACTTAATTTTTATTTTCAGATTTCAAAAATAAAATAAAATAAAATAACTAACCAAATAATTTTTCGTTTCGAAATTGTTTTCAAAAACAGAAAACGTAGGTACAAACTAAACAGACGTAAAGATCTTATAAAACCAAATAAGAAGCCATTTGAGGTGAGGTGAGGTGATTAATAGATGGAGGGGGTAAAGCATTTCGTTCTAGTTCATGGGTTTGGCCATGGAGCTTGGTGTTGGTACAAGCTTATAAACTTGCTGAAATTGGGTGGTCACCGTGTCACTGCATTAGATCTCGGTGCATGTGGGATTCACCCCCAGCAGATTAAAAGGATTGCTTCGGCACACGACTACTTGCAGCCATTGATGGACTTCATGGCCTCTCTTCCTCAATATGATAGGGTGGTTTTAGTAGGTCACAGTTATGGTGGCCTTTGTATTTCTCTGGCCATGGAGACCTTCCCGGAGAAGATCTTAGTAGCTGTTTTCATCACTGCCTACATGCCGGATTGTACCCATCCGCCGGCGACTCTCATACAAGAGGTAAGTAAGAGTCTTTATATATATTCCATTTATCTTTTTAATGGTGGCAGCGAAAGTGGTGGTAGAGGAGGTAATGATGGTTGAGGTTAGGTCCGGTAGAGAGGTGGTGGCGATGCCATTGGTGGTTAGCGATGACCATAGTGATAACAACAACGATAGAGGTGGTGGTGTGGTACCACCGATGGTAGAGACATTAGTGGTGTTGGTGACAACAACAATTGTGATAGAGATGGTGGTGGAAGATGAGATTTGTCAAAGCCTTGCGGAGTCTATGTCGATTTCTAGCCTTCTCTTAATCTCCCCCTTTGAATCCCACCATCACCATGGAATTTTCTTATCCCATATGGAAGGCGATAATTTTACTGTTGGGGATGAGATACGAGTAGAATACATAAGGGTATAGTTTGGATAAATTAAATCAAATTTTGATGTATTACTTTTATTAAAAAACTACAATGTCACAATCTTGATTGTCAGAAGCAGACCGTTTTGAAATTAGTTTTTGCATACAAAGTTAGGATTAGGTTTGTCATCGTTTTGGTTGACGCGATTTCATGTTAAATTTAGAATTGACTTAAATCATGAGCAAGTGAAATGCTTGTTTAGGGTCCAAAAAAATGGGGGGTCTCAATTTATATTTTTGATCTTTATAATATGAGTTAATCTAGGTTGAATATTACGAAATAAGGAGTCTAAAAAGATACGACATGTGATTCTCTCTCTTATTAAAATTTTATGCTCTCACATCAACTTAACGGTTACATTTGACATTACTTACCTAAAAGATTACATTCTCTCTTTTCATTTGTTGTCAATCCAACTACTCTTCATAATTAAAACACATACAAATACATATACGTAAACAAATCCTCTCTCTCCCTCACACACTCATCTGATTTTAAGTTCAAAATACATTGAAAAATAGAATAACCATAGAATAACACTTTTATCTATAACAAGTTTGTAAAAGGCTTTGTCTAACATTTATGCTTAGAGCCCCAAATTCTATTGAGCCAGCCTTGGTCAGATCTTTATGGGTTCGTGTTAAAAAACACTTCATTCATATTTGATTCGTTTATTAACTTTTGTCCAACAAATTGTGTCATATCAGATTAATATCATGTACAAATCACATATAATTGATACATAAATGAATCGTATTGTGTTGTATTATATATTTTGGCTTCACTTATCTCGATTTATTTATTAATTGTGAAAGCTCAAATTTTTTAATTTTGTATCATGTTAAACGTCTCGTGTCATAGAGTAATCCGTGAACAAACATGTCTGAACTGTGTTGATCTCATGGAGCCATTTCATGTTACTCGACTCTTTGTTTCTTTTTCCGTAAACAGTTCTTCAAGAAAATCTCCATAGAGTCTCTTATGGATTGCCGATTTTCATTTGATCAAGGCCAGCAAAATCTGCCAACTTCGTCGCTCGTAGGTCCCGAGTATACGGCAACTAAGGTTTATGAACACTGCCAATCAGAAGCGAGTCTCCTACACAGATTCAACTTAATCAATTTCTATATAACAATATTTTGTGTTCCTCGTGTGTTCATGTTTGCTGCAGATGTCATGAATTTAGCTCTGATTCGTACTCGTTTTGACATAAAATTCGTTTTAAATTTTAATTGAAAATTTTTGAGCCTTACCCATCAAGCGGGCGTTCGAGGAAGCACATCTGGGCAAATATTTTGGGATTTTCTTTGATATCTAACCCGAATAGAAAGTTTTTTTTTTTTTCCCGTTAGTATGTTCTCTTCAAGTTTATCAATTAATTTTTGTTTTTTTTTTGAGTTTATTTCAACAACCCGTTGTAATTTTCATCTTTGATAATAAAATTTATTTTTACGTTTCAATATATGAAGATAGACTGTTGACTTGAACCATGTAGATTTATGTACTCTGTAATTTGCTATTTTGTTTGATTATTTGCTTGTGGCCTTGTACGTAATGTACGATTGCAATCATTGCATGCAGGACCTAGAATTAGCCAAGATGTTGGTGAGGCCGAATGGGTTATTCTTGGAGGACATGGGCAAGGAATCCTTGCTTACAGAGGAGAAATATGGATCGATCAGTAGGGTTTATGTGGTGTGTAAAGAAGATGAAGTTATGGAGGAAGAATTCCAGAGATATGTGATTGAGACCTGAAGAGGTGAAGACCATAGGAGGAGCTGGCCATATGGTCATGCTTTCAAAACCCCAAGAGCTTTGCCTCTTTTTGCAAGAAATTGCTGAGAAATATCATTGAGAAAGTTGTTGGGAAAATAGGTTTTCCCACAAGTGTAAATCAATGGAAGCAATATAAATAAAATAACAGAAAATAAATAAGCACACAAGATTTACGTGGTTCCCTCAAATAACTTGAGGTACATCCACGACGACCGGTAGGTCAGTTTTTTCCACTATCACCAAATCAGATTACAAAGTGGTCAAAAGGCATAAGCCTTACAAACACACCAAGGTGTAAATCACAAGAGGAAAATACCTCACAAAATAAGTGAACCAAATCTCCAAGAACAAACCGCAAGAAACCCAAATATCAAGTGAAGAAATATTACCCACTTGAAGAACAAATTTGCAGATTTGTCTGGCACCAAAAAAGAGAAGAAGAAGGCTGAATTTTTGTTGAACCAAAGACTGCCGAAAATATGTCTTCTTGCCAAACCAACAGAGAAGAGAAGAACTAAAGAAAAGGACAAAACTTATAGTCTTTTGTGGTTGCCAAATTCCTTTTTAACTAGAAGACTCCAAACCAAGTCTTGGATAAGAGTCCTACATGGGTAAGCCACCAAAAAATTAGCAAATTGATGAGTCCCACAAAGGAGGGAAACCCAACAATTCTCCCCCTCCCGACTTATGTGGAGGATTCGACCATTCCCGCCAAAAGTCGACACTTCTCATGCTTGTCCTTAGTCAATGCCTTAGTTAACATATCCGAAGTGTTATCATCAGTGTGAATTTTTTTTCAAGTTGTAACAACTTATCATTCAAGACATCACGAATCCAATGATATCTAACATCAATATGTTTCGATCTCGAATGAAATGAAGAATTCTTGCTCAAGTGGATTGCACTCTGACTATCACAATGAAGGACATACCTTTCTTGTTTCAAACCCAACTCTTGTAAGAATTCCTTCAACCACAATAATTCTTTGCAAGCTTCAGTGATGGCGATGAACTCAACTTCTGTGGTGGAGAGAGCAACACATTTCTGTAATCTTGATTGCTATGCCACTGCTCCCCCTGCAAAAGTAATCAAATAACCAGAAGTAGATTTTCGACTATCAACATCACCAGCCATATCAGAATCTGTGAACCCATCAAGAATAGGCTCGCCTTTACCAAAACACAAACTCATCTTTGAAGTGCCCTGAAGATACCTCATAATCCATTTCACTGCTGCCCAGTGTTCTTTCCCTGGATTAGACAAAAATCGACTGACAACCCCAACTGCGTGAGCAATATCCGGTCGAGTACAAACCATGGCGTACATCAAAGAACCAACTGCTGAAGCATAGGGAATTTTCTGCATCTCATTTTTCTTTTCATCACTTGTAGGACACTGACTTGAGCTTAGTTTGAAGTGGCCTGCAAGTGGACAATTAACAGGCTTTGCTTTGTCCATATTGAACCTCTCAAGAACCTTTTTAATATAATTCTCTTGAGATAACCAAATCAGCCCATGTGATCTGTCACGAACAATTCTCATCCCAAGAATTTGCTTTGCTGGACCCAAATCCTTCATGGCAAAGGACTTACTCAACTCTGACTTCAACTTGCTAATCTTACTCGTGTCTTGGCCCACAATAAGCATATCATCAACGTAAAGCAAGAGAATAATAAAATTACCATCTTTATATTTCTTCACAAACACACAATGGTCTGAAGTGGTTCTTGAATACCCATTCTCACTCATGAAAGCATCGAATTTTCTGTACCACTGCCTCGGTGCTTGCTTCAATCCATACAAGCTCTTCTTCAATTTGCAAACTAACTGATCATTACCCTTATCTTTGAAGCCCTCAGGTTGCTCCATATAAATTTCCTCTTCTAAGTCACCATGCAAAAATGCGGTTTTCACATCAAGCTGCTCAACTTCTAAATTCATACTCGCAGCTATACCAAGCACAGTTCGAATGGAGGACATCTTCACAACTGGTGAGAAGATCTCATCAAAATCAACTCCCTTTCTCTGATCAAAACCTTTCACGACAAGTCGTGCCTTGAATCTCGGTTGAGAACTGTTCCCATCATTCTTTCGTCTGAAGACCCATTTATTTTTCAAAATTTTCTTCCCTTTAGGCGGCTTCACCAAATCATAGGTGTGATTCTCATGCAAAGACTTCATTTCCTCTTTCATTGCCTTGAACCATTCAGTTTTGTTCTCATGCTTCAAGACTTCTTGATAAGTCCCTGGCTCCCCCTGATCTGATATCATCACATACTCATTTGAAGAATATTTTCTGGATGATTGTTTTTCTCTAGTAGATCTCCTTAACGGTGTCTGTGGTAGTGGCTCTTGGGGTGGTTGCTCCCCCTCAATCTCTGGCTCAACATCATCTTCTGCTGCATCATCATGAGGTGTTTGCACTTCCTCATCAATATCATGAACAGCAGAGGGATTGAGAGGATCTAAATCAACAAGATCATCAGTACTAGACTCAGCTGACTCAAGCTTGTCGATGTCTTCAATAGTCTGATCTTCCAAGAAAACAACATCTCGGCTTCTGACAACTTTCTTGTCAACTGTATCATACAACCTGTATCCAAATTCTTCATGCCCATAGCCAAGAAATATGCATTGCTTTGCTTTTGGATCAAGCTTGGACCTTTCATCTTTTGGAATATGAACAAAAGCTCTGCAGCCGAATACCCTCAAGTGATCATAGGAGACTTCCTTCCCTGTCCAAACTTTCTCTGGCACATCACCATTCAACGGAACTGAAGGAGACAAATTGATAAGATCAACTGCGGTCCTCATTGCCTCACCCCAAAAGGATCTTGGCAATTTAGAATGTGAGAGCAAACATCTGACTCTCTCAAGAATGGTGCGATTCATTCTCTCTGCAACCCCGTTCTGTTGAGGTGTCTTTTTAACTGTCTTTTCATGCCTGATACCATGATTTGTGCAATACTGATCAAATGGTCCAATATATTCACCACCATTATCCGAGCGAACACATTTCAACTGTCTACCTGTTTCTCTTTCAACCTTGGCCTGAAAAATCTTAAACACATCTAGAACTTGATCTTTAGTTTTCAGTGTATAAGCCCAAACTTTTCTAGAGTGATCATCAATAAAAGTGACAAAGTATAGAGCACCACCAAGTGTCCTAACTTTCAAAGGACCACATACATCAGAATGTACCAAATCTAAAACATGAGATTTTCTAGATGCAATGTTTCTACGGAATGATATTCTGTTTTGTTTACCATGGAAACAATGAACACAAGTTTTCAAAGGCGTACCTTTTATCCCCACTAGAAGCTCTTTCTTGGACAAAACTTGCAATCCTTTTTCACTCATATGTCCAAGCCTTCTATGCCATAAATCAGTGGATGAGTCATTCTCTAAGGTATTCACAACACCCTTGCAGATTTTTGCTTGCATAGTGTAAAGAGAACAAGTCTTCTTTCCTTTTGCTACCACTAGAGAACCTTTGGAGAGCTTCCATTTTCCATTACTGAAATTGTTGATGTAGCCTTCATCATCTAACTTTCCAGCAGAGATTAAATTGAGTCGAATATCTGGTACATGCCTCACATCTCTAAGCAGCAATTTGCATCCAATATTTGTTTCCAAGCAAATGTCACCCATGCCGACAATTTTTGACACATCTTCATTTCCCATACGGACATTCCCAAAATCACCTTGTGAGTAAGAAGTAAAGAAATCAGCCCGCGAAGTAACATGAAATGAAGCTCCAGAATCAATTACCCAATCCGTCTCTTGGCCAATCAAATTAACGCTAGCATCATCACGGATAATCATGAGTTCATCATCGGTAACTACAGCTGTATCAATTTGCTTTTTCTCTGAATTTTTCTCTTTGTTCTGCTCCTTGAACTTGAGTTTTCTACATTCCCGCTTCATGTGCCCTTTCTTGTGACAATAATAGCATTCAACATCCTTTTTTGACATCGAGCTTGAACGACCTCTAGATTTATCACGGTTGTGCGGAACCCTACTCTTACTCCTGCCTCTCCCCCGGTTTTCCATTACAAGTGCCTCGGAGTAAGAAGAACCTGATGATTTTCTTCTTGTTTCTTCATTCAACAAACTGCTGGTAACTTGACTCATTGTTACCACTCCATCAGGTGCGGAGTTACTAACTGTGACCACCAAAGTTTCCCAGCTTTCGGGAAGTGAACTAAGAAGTAACAAAGCTTGCAACTCATCATCAAAAGTAATTTTCATGGCGGCCAACTGATTCACAATGCTCTTAATCTCATTCAAATGCTCTGCAATAGAAGTACCCTCCTTATATTTAGAGTTCACAAGCTTTCGAAATAAAAAGGCTTTATTCACTGCCGTCTTTCTATCATACAAACTCTCCAATTTGGTCCAAAGACCATGTGCAGATTTTTCTGTAGAGACATGATGAAAGACACTATCATCAATCCATTGCCGAATAAAACCGACAGCTTTCCGGTCTAGCTTTTTCCACTCGTCATCTTTCATCCCTTCCGGTTTGCCACTATCACCCTCTATGGGTCCATTCAAATCTTTACAAAATAAAAGATCTTCCATTTTAGTTTTCCAAGTCACCCAATTTGTGCCATTGAAACTAACCATACGTCCAACGTTGCCGTCCATAATTCACACACAGAAATATAACGAATCGGAACCGAATTAACCAATTGCTCTGATACCAGATGTTGGGAAAATAGGTTTTCCCACAAGTGTAAATCAATGGAAGCAATATAAATAAAATAACAGAAAATAAATAAGCACACAAGATTTACGTGGTTCCCTCAAATAACTTGAGGTACATCCACGACGACCGGTAGGTCAGTTTCTTCCACTATCACCAAATCAGATTACAAAGTGGTCAAAAGGCATAAGCCTTACAAACACACCAAGGTGTAAATCACAAGAGAAAAATACCTCACAAAATAAGTGAACCAAATCTCCAAGAACAAACC